GAAGTCGGAGAAACTATATCATCATCATCATCAGATGCATCGGGAGACGCTATCAGTAAACCTTTAGCGCACAAGGCTTCATTAACTATCTTTTTGATCTCTTTTTTATATCGCTTACTTGTAAGCTCTATGTTATAATGATCAGCAAGTTCTATTAACTGTTCTTTTGTCAATGCATTTAACAAACCCTTCGAGGGTTCCTCTACAAAGGTTTTTACCAGTGACGCCATCCTTCACACAATGCAGACCCTATTATTAAGAACTCAAACCAACATTTCTTATTACCACCTGTACGATCTAAATAAAATAAACATGAGCCGGGTAGGCCAGCGATATCTTCAAAACCATATAACCATTTCTCTTAGGCCTACAAAAAGTACCCCTCACAATTTAACTAGACGCGGATCTTCAAACAGGCCTGCGGTGGGATGGATTAAACACCAAGCCCGCAGGAGTGGCTAAACAACCAGTAATCTGGCGATTTCTCCAATTCCTCGGTAGTGCCCCCGAGACCAATGCTCTAGCCACAGACCCGTTCAAAAACAAAAAAAACCACACGACCCAAAAAACACGCAACCTACAATGTAAGCACAAAAAAAAAGGTCATGGCTAATTGATTAAATACATATCGCTGAACTTACCCGCATGTCCAACATTTCCGTGTAGCCTCTGATTACCTCCAACAAGACAACAAACATTAATATTAGTCCTAGACACGCACAACTTTTTCCTCTGTTTACATGACTTGTAATCGCCCAAAAAACAACAACAACGCCAGACTTAATAACGAAGACACGCGAGCGAGCGTCACATCAGCCTCCGATTACAATAGATTATAGGCAAAATTTTGTTAGGACGAGCCCCCACTTTGTTACATACTGGCTCTCAGACAGTAACAAAGAAAGGCAGGAGAAAGTTCGGCAATCAAATGTCTAAGGGTTTATTTGTTAACTCCATAAGTTTACATTTGCATACAAAACTACAATTCAAAACACCGAACAAAGCCGGTCTCTCCCGCATCCTCTCGCCACACCCAAGCCCTCTTTATGCCATCAGCTGGGACACGCCTCGCGCGCCGGCATTCCCATCAATTAAGCACAGGAAGTAACCTAGGATAACAACAAGACACGAAACAGAAGAGATACAGAAACACAGACAATCGCTGATGTAACACCTAGGTATTTATTTGAAACAGTAGCTAAACTAACGAAAAAGAAAGCTTCAAGCTCAGAAGTGTTCAAGCAACACAGCAGTAATGACTTTATGAACTTCTTCACTTATAAGATCGATAATATCAGGGACAAAATTATAACTATGCAACTATCTACTACAGTATCGCATCAGGCAGTGCATTGTAGTCTCCCTGAGGAAAAATTTGATTTATTTGTTGCCATAAGAGAGGACGAATTTTCTAAACTTGTTAAATCATCTAAATCGACAACATGTATGTTAGAACCTATACCGACTAAGCTACTGAAAGAGATGCTTCCAGAGGTCATAGATCCTCTTCTTACTATCATTAATTCGTCTTTGTTTCTAGGATACGTACCAAAAACCTTTAAGCTGGCTATGATAAAACCGCTTGTTAAAAAACCGCAACTTGATCCTTCAAAATTAGTCAATTACAGGCCGATCTCGAATCTGCCTTTTCTATCAAAGATATTAGAAAAATCAGTATCCTCACAACTGTGTTCCTTTCTGGAAAGAAATGATATCTGCGAGGATTTTCAGTCCGGATTCAGACCGTACCATAGCACTGAGACAGCTCTCATCAGAGTCACAAATGATTTGCTCTTATCATCCGATCGTGGTTGTATCTCTCTATTAGTGTTACTCGATCTTAGTGCTGCATTTGATACTATTGACCACAACATTCTTTTAAATAGACTCGAAAATTATGTTGGCATTAGTGGAGTTGCACTAGCATGGTTTAAATCATACTTAACTGACCGTTATCAGTTTGTAGCAATAAATGAAGAGATGTCTTATCGATCACAAGTTCAGTATGGCGTACCACAAGGCTCAGTACTAGGACCGCTGCTGTTCACTCTGTACATGCTACCATTAGGAGATATCATTAGGGAACATGGAATTAGTTTTCACTGTTATGCCGATGATACTCAGCTGTATATTTCTTCACGCCCCGACGAAACTTACCAATTCACAAAATTAACGGAATGCATAGCCGATATAAAAAATTGGATGACTAGTAATTTCCTACTACTAAATTCTGAAAAAACAGAGATTCTAATTATTGGACAAAAAACTTCCACACGTAATAACCTAGAATACTGTCTAAAACTTAATGGCTGCTCTGTTAAGTCTTCGTCGTCGGTTAGGAACCTGGGGGTGTGTGTGTGTGTGTGTGCTCTTTGATACCAATCTCTCATTTGAAAGTCACGTGTCTAGTATCTGTAAAACAGCATTTTTCCATCTTAAAAACATATCTAAATTACGCCATATGCTCTCATTAACAAATGCAGAACAATTAGTTCATGCGTTCATGACCTCAAGGCTAGATTATTGTAATGCTCTACTGGGTGGTTGCCCTGCACGCTTAATAAACAAACTACAGCTAGTTCAAATTGCAGCAGCTCTTACCAGAACCAGGAAGTATGACCATATTAGCCCGGTTCTGTCAACAATGCATTGGCTCCCTATTAAACATCGTATACATTTTTAAATATTGTTGATTACTTACAAAGCACTAAATGGTTTAGCTCCGCAGTGCTTGAGCGAGCTCTTAATGCATTATAGTCCTTCACGTCTATTGCGATCTCTAAACTCCGGCCAGTTGATAATACCTAGAATATCAAAATCGACTGCAGGCGGGAGATCCTTTTCTTATTTAGCACCAAAACTCTGGAATAGTCTTCCTGCCATTGTCCGGGAAGCAGACACACTCTGTCAGTTCAAAGCTAGACTAAAAACACATCTCTTTGACCTAGCATACACATAATACATTATAGACTTCGATAATTCAATGTTAGGCTGCATAGATTAGGTCAGCCGGAACTGGGAACACTTCCCTTAAATCCAGATGTACTCGTTACATCATAAGAAGAATGGCATCTACGCTAATATTAGTGTCTTTGTTTATCCCGAGGTTTTCCTGCAGCCTGCCGGATCCAGGCCGTATCCAGATCTGACGAAGGAGATTCGCCTGGACCCGATGACAATGCAGTGCTGAAGTATCCACTATCCTCTCCCTATGGAGGATCCCTTTCCCACTCGACAGATAAAGCGTTGTTGAAAATCCGGTTCGCGTACCCCGAAGTGATAAAATAATATTCTGTATCAAATTTATAGGCAAGACAAGGAGTTTGTAGGGAAATTACAAACCTGCGCACACATATTCAAACGAATATAACTATAGAATCAATCTTTAATGCGCATGTGAACGCCATCAGGTCACAGGTTCGCGTTTAAAGTCTGTTTAGAGAGAACGCCGTCGTCTTAGTGGCCCCTAATGTAATAACAAATGATAATTTTGCTGGAAGTGAATCAATCAAAACCAACTTTAGCCGGAAATAACATTATTCAAAATCGTTATAAAGCCAAAACAATCTCTGTTACCGTAAACTGTATGTTTATCTCTGTAAAGCTGCTTTGAAACAATCTCCATTGTTAAAAGTGCTATATAAATGAAGATGACTTGACTTGTGTGTGCGTGCGTGTGTGCGCGCGCGCGCGTGTGTGAGCGTGCGTGCGTGTGTGTGTGCGTGTGTGTGTGTGCGCCCGCGTGTGCGTGCGTGTGTGTGTGCGCGCGTGTGTGTGTGTGTGTGTGTGCGTGCGTGCGTGCGTGCGTGTGTGTGTGTGTGTGTGTGTGTGTACACTGCCGTTCAAAAGTTTGAGATCGTTAAGGTTTTTAATGTTTTTAAAATATATTTTCTGCTCAACCAAGGTTGCATTTATTTAATAAAAAAACAGTAATATTGTGAAATATCATAATGTAAATCAGCTGTTTTCTATATAGTAAAATATATGAATATATAGTAAAGTGTAATTTATTCCTGTGATCAAAGCTGAATGTTCAGCATCATTACTCCAGTCTTCAGTGTCACATGATCCTTCAGAAATCACTCTAATATGAGGATCTGATGCTCAAGAAACATTTATGATTATTATCAGTGTTTATATCAGTTGTGCTGCTTCAAAATATTGTGGAAATTAATACATTTGATTTTTTGTTTCACACACGCACACACACACACACACACACACACACACACACACACACACATGCGCGCGCGCACACACACACACACACACACATTAGCAGACAAGCATTTGATTTACTGACTTGTTAAGTCTTTAATAAATGCAACAACAGCAGAAACGAATAATAACATTAACAGTGATGGGCGGACTTTAAATGAACTAGTGTTACAACATAATGTTACTAACATGGGTTACATATTCAAATGAAGTATTGACAAAACGTTTGATAAAATGATAATCCTCATATTTCAGCCTTTAACCCATTCTTAAGGAAAGGGATGAGTAAACATGACGAATGATTATAGGTGTTTCATCAGCTCCATGAATAATTCTAGATGCCTTATTATGAGAATGGTTTGATGGAGTTTGCGGACTCTGGAGCCGCACGCAGGACACACTCCTGCTGGTGTAACGGCAGCTGTGCTTCTGTTTCGCTGTTTGACTGCATAAGAGCTTCTGCTTTCTACACAAGAACCGAATCACAACTCCACTGAAGTCTTGCTTCTGCTTTAGTTGTGAAGACTGTCTCAGATATACAACGTGATCTTAATATCTTGCCTTTTAAAGTTATTGAGAACCCACTCTGACTAAATTAAAATTGCTGTTGTTCATTTCATTCGTATTAATATGAAATTATAGAAATATAAAATCATGACATTAGTTACTGGTTTCTGTTTAACATTGCTATATTTTCTTCACAAATGGACAAATTGTCCAGTAAATATTTACAATAAAGAGCAATTTGTAATATTTTTTTTCTTCATTTTTTTTTTGTTGAATTGAATTATAAAATCATGTTGCAAATATCAGTGTGCGTTAGCAAAATGTTAGGCTTGATTGCTACAGCGATAGAGAGTGACGTGTGTGAAGATGAAGCAGAACGGGCTGGAACGGGTCTCTATGCGTAGAACGTGTCCGCTTTCACCGCCTGGCAGAACATGGTCATGGAGAACACGAGCCCCAGGATCTGGACACACAAACGCATGTAAATGACAATCTCTCTCATATCCGGATCATTGTGGTGTGTGTTCTGTTCAGTACCTGTGTCAGAGCCGTGCAGAGAGCGAAGATCCACAGCGCCACCAGATTATCCTGCAGCCATCCCTTCACACGCTCGTAACACGGCTGTAACACACACACACACACACACACACACACACACACACACACACACACACACACACACACACACCGTCTGTTACTCACACCATCCCTTCACACGCTCGTAACACGGCTGTAACACACACACACACACACACACACACACACACCGTCTGTTACTCACACCATCCCTTCACACGCTCGTAACACGGCTGTAACACACACACACACACACACACACACACAACCCGTCTGTTACTCACACCATCCCTTCACACGCTCGTAACACGGCTGTAACACACACACACACACACACACACACACACACACACACACACACACACACACACACACACACGTCTGTTACTCATACCATCCCTTCACACGCTCGTAACACGGCTGTAACACACACACACACACACACACACCGTCTGTTACTCACACCATCCCTTCACACGCTCGTAACACGGCTGTAACACACACACACACACACACACACACACACACACACACAACCCGTCTGTTACTCAGACCATCCCTTCACACGCTCGTAACACGGCTGTAACACACACACACACACACACACACACACACACACACACACACACATCGTCTGTTACTCACACCATCCCTTCACATGCTCGTAACACAGCTGTAACACACACACACACACACAAACATCGTCTGTTACTCACACCATCCCTTCACATGCTCGTAACACAGCTGTAACACACACACACACACACACACACACACCGTCTGTTACTCACACCATCCCTTCACACGCTCGTAACACGGCTGTCAACACACACACACACACACACACACACACCGTCTGTTACTCACACCATCCCTTCACACGCTCGTAACACGGCTGTAACACACACACACACACACACACACACAACCCGTCTGTTACTCACACCATCCCTTCCCACGCTCGTAACACGGCTGTAACACACACACACACACACACACACACACACACACACACACACACACACCGTCTGTTACTCATACCATCCCTTCACACGCTCGTAACACGGCTGTAACACACACACACACACACACACACACACACCGTCTGTTACTCACACCATCCCTTCACACGCTCGTTACACGCCTGTAACACACACACACACAAACACACACACACACACACACCGTCTGTTACTCACACCATCCCTTCACACGCTCGTAACACGGCTGTAACACACACACACACACACACACACACACACACACACACACCGTCTGTTACTCACACCATCCCTTCACACGCTCGTAACACGGCTGTAACACACACACACACACACACACACACACACACACACACCGTCTGTTACTCACACCATCCCTTCACATGCTCGTAACACGGCTGTAACACACATACACACACACACCGTCTGTTACTCACACCATCCCTTCACACGCTCGTAACACGGCTGTAACACACACACACACACACAAACATCGTCTGTTACTCACACCATCCCTTCACATGCTCGTAACACGGCTGTAACACACATACACACACACACCGTCTGTTACTCACACCATCCCTTCACACGCTCGTAACACAGCTGTAACACACACACACACACACACACACACACACACCGTCTGTTACTCACACCATCCCTTCACACGCTCGTAACACGGCTGTCAACACACACACACACAAGCAACACACACACACACACACACACCGTCTGTTACTCACACCATCCCTTCACACGCTCGTAACACGGCTGTCAACACACACACACACACACCGTCTGTTACTAACAAACACACCATCCCTTCACACGTTCGTAACACGGCTGTAACACACACACACACACACACCGTCTGTTACTCACACCATCCCTTCATACGCTCGTAACACAGCTGTAACACACACACACACACACACCATCTGTTACTAACACACACCATCCCTTCACACGCTCGTAACACGGCTGTAACACACACACACACACACACACACACCGTCTGTTACTCACACCATCCCTTCACACGCTCGTAACACGGCTGTAACACACACACACACACACACACCGTCTGTTACTAACACACACCATCCCTTCACACGCTCGTAACACGGCTGTAACACACACACACACACACACACACACACACACACACCGTCTGTTACTAACACACACCATCCCTTCACATGCTCATAACACGACTGTCAACACACACACACACACACACACACACACACCATCTGTTACTAACACACACCATCCCTTCACACGCTCGTAACACGGCTGTAACACACACACACACACACACACCGTCTGTTTCTAACACACACCATCCCTTCACACGCTCATAACACGGCTGTCAACACACACACACACACACACACACCGGCTTACTCCGTTGCTCCGGCGAATTACTTCATTAATCCTTGTTTTATTGCTTTACCAGGCATTTATAAGCAAGCACTTTTTATTTTTATATCATGTGAACTTATCCACGAAACTATTCCTTATAAAAAACAATTAGATTGCTTTGATATCGCTACTTATATCCAACCTTTCGATTCTCGGCTACTAGCCTTTAGCCCGCTAACATTTCACGCGTGGCCTCGGCCGTCTAATATTACATCCTTTCACTGAAAGGACACGAGTTATATTGACATTGCAGTCCTAAATTAGTACTGATAGTTGTAGTATCACTGCTAATTTACAGCTCATTTGTTATAATGGCGAACATATCGGATGCGTGTCTAACTTTACCTCTGAGTGCAGGTGAGGACACTTTCGAGCTATTCTCGGTGAATCTGGAGCTGGAATCCGTGGAGAAACAGATCCGTGGTCTGCTGGAAAAGCAAGCCGAGCTGTTGGATCGGCGATCAGCACTTGAAGCAGCACGCGCCGATGCTCACAAGTTAGTGGTTAGTAACTCTTTAACTCCGAGTTCGTCTACTCCGTGTGTTTCTCTGTCCAGAAGGACGCGATCATCTCGGGCTTCATTTACTCCGGCACCGACACAACACAATGGACCATGGATCACGCAGCGGAAGACGCGAGCCAGGACCAGAGCTACTCCTCCGCCCCTCCCGGTCTTCGAGATCTCCACTCGGAACCGCTTCTCCCCTCTTCGCGAGTCGAAACGCGACGACGCCGTGATCATCGGCACGTCCATGGTCCGCCATGTCCGTGCTACCTCAGGTAAAGGTAAGGTGCGCTCTCACTGCTTTCCTGGTGCTCGTGTTCTTGATATCGCTGCACAGGTTCCCGAAATCCTGACCGGGGACGAGCGCGTCGGAGCTGTGGTGCTGCATGCGGGAGGGAGCGACGTCAGGCTGCGGCAGACGGAGGTTCTGAAGAAGGACTACATGAGCCTGATCGAGACCGTACGCAACACAGCGCCTGAGGCAACGATCATCGTGTCTGGACCGCTTCCCACGTACCGACTAGGACAAGAAAGGTTCAGTAGACTATTTGCACTAAATGAATGGTTAATGTCACTGTGTAATGAACAGAAACTGCTCTTTGTAAATAATTGGAATCTGTTTTGGGAGCGACCCAGGCTGTACCGTGCTGATGGCCTGCACCCCAGCAGAGCCGGAGCGGCTGTTCTGTCGGATAATATCTCCAAGACGTTACGCACCAGATGACTAATAAGTCAAAATCCAAATCACAGTCTTTGCTGTCCAAACTTAATTGATATACGTAGTGAAGAACATTATATAGAAACTGTGTCTATTCCTCGTTTAGTGAAGCCAAACAATAAATCTAGTGCAGGATCTAGCAAAAATCTTATTGTAATTAAACCAGAAAATCTAAATATCAGTGAACAAAAAGAATTTCTAAAGCTAGGTCTTCTAAACATTAGATCGCTCACACCTAAAGCGGTTATTGTAAATGAAATGGTCACAGATAATAATTTCGATATACTTTGCCTTACTGAAACCTGGCTTAAACCAAATGAGTATTTCGGTCTAAATGAGTCTACTCCGCCAAGATACTGTTATAAGCATGAGCCCCGTCTGACTGGTCGTGGCGGCGGTGTTGCAACAATCTATAAAGATATTCTTAATATTTCTCAGAAAACAGGTCACAGATTTAATTCGTTTGAAGTACTTATGCTAAATGTTACGCTCTTAGATGTAAGAAAGAAATCCATATTATCTCTAGCCTTGGCTACTGTATATAGACCTCCAGGGCCATATGCTGAATTTCTAAAAGAGTTTGCAGACTTTCTCTCGGATCTATTGGTCAATGTCGATAAAGCAATAATTGTTGGAGATTTTAACATACACGTAGACAACAAAAATGATGCCTTAGGGGCTGCGTTTACAGATTTATTAAACTCCTTTGGGGTCAAGCAAAACGTCCGTGGTCCCACTCATCGTCTAAATCATACACTAGATTTAATTATATCATATGGAACCAATCCAACTGATATAGATATTATACCGCAAAGTGATGATGTCACTGATCATTACATGGTAACGTGCATAATACGTACTGCTGAAATATGTCATGTTGCGCCACGTTATAGACCAGGCAGAACAATCCTTCCAACCACTATAGATAGATTCTCAAATAGCTTACCTGATCTATCTCAGCTGCTCAGTGAACCCAAACTAACAGATGAACTAGAGGAAATGACTAGCAGTTTGAGCACCATTTTCACTAGTACATTAGATATTGTTGCACCAATTAGATTAAAAAAGGTTAAAGAGAAAACTAAAGCACCATGGTACAACAGTGTTACGCATGATATCAAGAGAGAAACTCGTAACCTAGAGCGTAAATGGAAACAAACTAATTTAGAGGTCTTTAGAATCGCGTGGAAAGACAGTATGTCACGTTATAAAAAGGCTCTAAAAACAGCCAGGGCTGAGCACCTCCGCAAACTAATAGAAAATAACCAAAATAATCCAAGGTTCTTATTTAACACCGTGGCTAGACTAACAAATAAACAGACATCACCAGAGCAAAATATACCGTTACAGTTTAGTAGTAATGATTTTATGAATTATTTCAATGAGAAAATAGAAA